GGGGGGGGGGGGGGGGGGGGGGGGGGGGGGGGGGGGGGAGGGACGGAGCAAGAGAAGGAATTATGTGAGAATACGAAGAGGACATACCTTGGCATCATTGCCACACTTCTTGAGCATTACGCCGCACGGCCCGTAGCGTTCCACGTTGGTCAGGTCCAGCACCTCCTCGCGGTGCGATGTGCTTTCGTCGGACTGCAGAATATCAAATTTGGGCGTAGCATACAAGGCATAAATAAGGTACTAACATCCCTGAGTGATACAGCACGCACAGCTGTTTGGCAACAACGGCTCATGGGTTGTTCCCGCAGATGTACCTACACTCCAGGGTCACGAGTCGAAACCCGGTTGTATTGCATTCGCGTGAGTATTACAGACTTTGCTACCTTTGGGCGCAAAAAATCGCTCGGCAAAGGTGTTGGACTTCTGTGCGACCCTCGCAACGAAAACTGTTCGGCAGCGCCAAACTGTTTAGCGAGACACAGCAGTGATTGTCATGCGTAGCTGTCGTTTTCGTGCAAACCATTGGTTGGTCCAGACTGACCACAGGGGCGTGGTACGCATTGACGAATTGACTTAACTTTTTCCAAAAAGCAGTAGGCATCCGTCTCGTCAGAGAAGGTGACAGGGGAAGGTCTAACGCAATGCAGAAGAACGGCTGCATGTATGTGACATCGCGGTTTGCCAGATAACGATACATTGCGTTTCCCTATCGGTCAACATCTCTGTGCGATATTGAAGAAGCCAGCGGTTTTCACTCGAAAAACAATTGTGGTGACGTCAAAGAAAGAAAAGTTACCTGTGTAGAAGCGTCCGAAACGCTCCGGTGGCATAACTCAGCCTGCTCGGCTCTCTGATACAAAGTGAGGGTGTTTGTTCTCCCCTGCTTGCCCTTTGCTGCCGGTACAGCGTTGTTGTTGTAGCCAATCCATCGATAGGGGTTTGTACCCTTGCCGCCGCTCCCCGCCCTAGGGTGGCCCTTCTTCCGTCGATTTTTCCACGCAGAGAGTATCTTGTCTGCGAAGCTCTGCTTAGGGTTGTTCTCCACGCTGAAAGGTGGGTTTGATTCGGCATCGCGACACACAGTGTTTGCGACGGGTTAGTTGAAGGAAGAAGGAGGTCGTGGAACGAAAGGAAGGGAACCAAAACAAGCCACCTACCTATAAACCGCGGAAACACCTTTATGTGAAAAGAAAAACGAGCCACCCTTGCGTCCACATCTACGCACGATCGCCGAAACGTAGCTCTTGCGCCGACGTGTCGACCGCGATCTACCGCAAAACCACACATGCTAGTGTTCTCCGGTAACTTCCCACCTCCAACAACAATATGAAAGGTACCAACAGCAACATTGAATTTACACTTCACGTATGTACCCGGACATATCGACGGCGAGCTGGAGCGACATCTCAGCGCTCTCCCAGTCTTGAGACAAGATTGCGGTTTGCCCCACCAGCAGGTGGAACTTCGTCTCCTGCAGCACCTGTGGATCAATTTCATCCGGGGGCGGTGGGACTTGGTCCTCGCAATACTGTTTGGTGCATTGTGTGGTATTTATTGTCGTTCTTCGTACTTGGTGTTTCTTCAAAAAAACTGTTTTTGGCAAACATAAAGGTCATGTGTTGCCAACAGAGTTTCTGTCGCGAAGCTCGGGAAATAACCAGAAAAACCTTTAGTTTTTCCTTGGTCATTGTTTTCTCCGATGTCTGTCTCCGTGACTCACTCGGAACCGGCGGCGTATAGTCAATTCAACATTATTTTGTTGTTGGGCTATGAAAACGAAAGGCACCTTGTGGAAATAATCAGCCATACAAACTGGTAAATGTCATGATGCAATAAAAAAAGAAAAGTATTTGGAGCAAAACAACACCATGCAAAAGTATCCCCTATTCTCGCCCCCTTCCCCCCCCCCGCCTCCCCCTCGGTGTTTGCCAGCGGGATTGGGTTGTCGTCGCTTGGCAACGGCGTTGTAAAACAAGCCAATTCACTTCGTGAACTCGGCAACCAGGTTACCGTTTTATTTTTTACCTCTGTTTTTCTTTTTGGCGGTACCCATAATGGTGGTCGAGTAGATCATGTTGTGCGGGGTGGATAATCCTCACTCCGCGCAAGGGGGATGATGGCACCACGTTGTGTTAAAATGGTCAAGCACCCTCGAGGCAGTTACACAGTGCTTACAACTGTCTCTGGAAGTGAAAGCACCAGAAAATAAATTAATTCATACGCAGCTGTCATCCGTACGCAAGGAAGTAAGCACAAGATGCCGAACACCCTTAGCAGGATGCAGCGCACCCTTCATGCGACTCGCCGAATATCTCACGGCGCTTCGCGCTTGGTGATGTGAGGGCCTGGTCCGATGCGAACCCGGCGTGCTCCGTCCCGGCCTTGTAGGAATGCGAGGTCAATGGTCTAACGACTACGGCATGCACGACTATGAGTACACCCC